TATATATATATATTGTGACGTCATGGGATTGTGCAACCCCCTAACGCCTCCGTCTGGCACCTGTAAACACTCACACAGCAAGGATAGCAAACGCGGCGGAGCAGTGGCTCTTAAACATGCATACCTGTTATCCATTGATCGTACTAGAGCGCTCGAACTAGCGAGCAACGTTTTTCCCGTGGAAGGTGGAAAGAGGAGAAGCAACCCCACTCTTGAAATTTCCCCAGACGTCGAGCCATAAATACAGTATCACGGTTCGGGAGCGCTCTCTGATATTACAGCAACGTCGGGGAACGCATCGGCAGCGCTTGAATCACAGCAAGGTCAGCGGGCAGGTCTTCTCGAGCTAGAGTAGGAGTCTATTTAAATACGTGTGGATCTAGAACAGTAGAAATTAGAATACCGAAGTGATATGAGAAAGTGGTATAAATTTTGGATTCGGCAATAAGTCTAATATTGCCTAGATTCGCGAAGAAGGTCTCTGAATTATTCCAGTACAATCATATTGCTCCTTATTGCTACACAAGCAAAAGGTGTAGTAGTTAGGCCGCGCACGCAAACTAAAGGGGCGCGGTAAATTAGATAAAACTGGAAGCGCGAATTAATTCCTACAACGAGGCGTGAGAAGATAGAAAATGAAGGCATCTCCAAGAAGGCTCAATCATAAGTGCGAAAGATATGGTCTTGGATAGAAGGTAGAGCGTGTAGGTGCGAAGGATCTGGCTTCAGCGTGTGATTTCGAACGGTCGACGCTGCAAGTGCCACCGAATTTTGTGGTTAAATTATACGCTCGTTTGTTCACAATCTTTGCAATTTATTGTGTCGACGGTTCAGACCTTCCTCGTACCCGAATGATTTTGCTTCCTGAGAATTTTAAGCTCGCTTCATGAGCATTCTTGATAACAAGCTTACTGCACATATGTGCTGTTGTTGAAGGGGGTGCGTTGGATGGATAGGCGTGTTAGAATATATTGTGACGTCATGGGATTGTGCAACCCCATAACGCCACCGTCTAGAACCTGTGAACAACCACACGCAGCGAAGATAGCAAACACGGCGGAGCAGGGGCTCTTCAACGCGCAACCTGTTATCCGTTGACCGTACTAGAGCGCTCGAACTAGCGAGCAACGTTTTTCTCGTGGAGGGTTGAAAGAAGGGAAGCAAGCCCACTCTCTGAATTTTCCCAGGCGTCGGGCCATAAATACGATAACACTCTTCGGGAGCGCTCTCTGATATTCCAGCAACGACAGCGAACACATCGGCAGCGAACCCCTCGCTTGAATCACAGCAACGGCAGCAGACAGGTGTTCTTGAGCTAGAGTACAAGTCTGTTTAAATACGTGTGGAGCTAGAGTAGAGAAATTAGAATACGGAAGGTATAGGAGAAAGCTGTGTAAATTTTGAAATCGACAATAAGTCTAATATTGCCTAGATTCGCGCAGAAGGACTCTGAATTATTCCAGTACAATCATATTGCTCCTTATTGCTGCACAAGCCAAAAGTGTAGTAGTTAGGCCGCGCACGCAAACGAAAGGGGCGCAGTAAATTAGATAAAACTGGAATCGCGAATCATCCAACAGTTGCAGATAGTTCGGAGTTTATACTTTTAACACAGAAAACAAGAATTACGAATCGACAAAAGAAACAATACGAAACATAAATTTAACTAATCGTTACTCGAAAAACATTAATAATGAAAATGAAATGTGTAGTTTGAAACATTTTAAAAAGATCATCCAGAATTACAGAAACTTTTGTTTCATTTGGAGTGTCAGGTTTTGAATGTTCGCCTGTGTTCAGCGTGACTCCCCCAGATAAAATTGTCCTGACATTCTCTAATCTTATTTATTCTGGCTCCTCAATGTATTGTAACGGATATTACATCACCTAGTGGGATTCGCTGCGCGGATTGAGTCATCTGCCGGCGCCCCCTTTCCCCCGAACTGCATGGTTCCGTGCTATTCGCGAGTCGCGTAGAAATGTAGAGCAAGTGCCGGTTGTGTCGAGACGGGCGCTGGCCAGGTATAAATTCGCCGCTGCCGGCGACCGCGAGTAAGTAGTAGATAGTAGAAGTCAGTCCGTCAGTGTGAGTATGCAGTAGTGTGTCTGAAGTGGAAGCTGAGCTGTGAAGCGTACATCGCGGTTAACGGCCGTGTAGTGGTCTCTGGTCTGCGCACAAAATTGTAGTCTACGCACATAATTGTAGTCTGCGCACAAAATTGTAGTCTGCGCACAAAATTGCAGTCTGCGCACAAAATTGCAGTCTGCGCACAAAATTGTAGTCTGCGCACAAAATTGTAGTCTGCGCACAAAATTGTAGTCTGCGCACAAAATTGTGGTCTGCGCACAAAATTGTGGTCTGCGCAGAAAATTGTGGTCTGCACAGTCAACCGGAACAGTTCATCGGACTCTGCGATAGTGTAGAACTGAACAGTGTTATTAAATAATCAGACAGCAGTGAACAGTGTAAATAAATAATCCGAAGAGGTGAACTGTATAAATAAATAATCAAGAGAACAGAATCATGTGTTAGGAAAATAATCAAGTGAAGAACATACGGACTGTGTAATATATCTGTAAATAAATCAAGTATTTTTAATGTAGCATTGTTTACAAATAAACATTTTTGTTAAAGTATATCGTGTGTTTGTTTTAATTCACCACGGAGAAACGTTACTGTATTGTTCTGTGACACTATTTTAACGCCATTCGTATATTTCTCTTCCATCCAAGGTACAATTTATAATCTTGTTTTTAACAATTTTCAGCTGATTTTCTAGGTATTACCGACAATTCTGCTTCAGCAACTTCATTACTTATTGCCTCTGGTCAATCCATTTCATAACTGAAAAAAAAGCCAACTACGGCCACCTCAAGTACAGTCGACATTGGCCTACATTATGTACGTAACATACCATTCTAATTCCAGGTTCAGTAAACATTTTACTGTTCTAATAATTTTATTATGATGTTATACAAAAAAGATACTGTATGTAACTCGCTTATGTTACTTTTTTGCACACAAAAGAAAAACATTATAAACTAATAGCATAATATACTATTATGATTTCACACGAAGTCAATATTTACGTATTTCTAAAACTTATCATTGATCAGTTATACATATTTTCATTTTATGTTACCGTGATATTTAAAAAGGCAGAAAACTTAACAATGTTCATTGTTATAAGAATACATGACTGACAACTTCACGATAATGCATTATTTTATCATACTCCATTAAGATTATTTTGTAATAATATATCCTACCTTTTACATTTCAAAATTATTTTTTCCTCTCTTTTTTCTCCATGTTCATTTCATGCAGAACCACTTCTCATTCTGTCTGAAGGAGAAACTTAAATATAAAAGTGTAAATCATTTACGAACTCCAGAAAATAACTTTTTAATGAGTTGGGGCAAGTGAAAACTTCAAATTCTGTTTTTTTTTCTAAAACAAATGCCTACTCTTCATCTGACAGAGTATCGTTCACCCATCTAAGGGTCTGTCAGAAAGCGTGAACTCTAAGTGACTTCGAGACGTGGAAACTCCCTGTGCCCGCGCTCGGGGTGAAGTCGCCTGCGACTTCCGCTATTGCAACGTGCAGGCGCTCCAAAATCGAAGAAGTCACACTGGTCTGAGGAAGCTTCGATATGAAATTCGCGTTACAGAGGCGACCCCCGCCCCTGGAGATTGTGGTTACTATATTTGGTTTTGGTAGTTCTTCATAAGTGTTTATCTGTTCTCATTGTGTTTATTTCTTAATAGCGCCCGGTGACTTTAGGATTTTCACTATATTCACAGTAGACAGTGTGTTGTATGTTCTGTACATTGGAATGATAACTTAATTTTCTGGAAATAAATATTTTTTCATCGATTCCTTGATAACCTTGTTCGAAAATATTGATTTTTATAATAGCATTCCTTATTTTTCATTTTATAAATTTAAATCAAATTATTATTATTATTATCAAATTATTATACAACCCACATTATCTTCATTGTACATGAAACGACAGCTACAGCTACCAAATGACCTAAGGACCCTAATGACATCACTAACATAAGACGACTATCATTAGCCACGGCCATAACACCATTTCACTTGCAATTACATACAGAATTATTACGATCTGGGTGAAACTAACGATTCGTAAAATAAACAAAATTGCGTGAACCTAGTAAAAAAATGCATATGGAGAAAAGCGTTCAAAACACGAAATATCTATTACTGTATACAGAATGAATAAATAATAAATACCTTCTCGGGTAGACCTTTCTTCTTTATCAACAATAATTATTATAATTTTTTTTCTTTTGTCCACACGCACCTCCGGTAAAAATCCTGAGTTACTTCCACGTTTCATAGTATTTCATTTTAAGCGAGCTGAATATATTCAAGGGGCTGAGAACATTAGTAAGTTATATCATCAGGAATTTATTGAATATACAATAAAATACAGAATGGATTAAATTGATGTGCATTGAAGCAATAAATAGAGGAATCACCATGCCGAAATTTCTTTCCAGTACAAAACAGCTATCACAATGTTCACTACATTTTAAGCACATGTTTTTGGTCTCAGCCCTTATATTATATTAATATCAATAATACCACACAATTAGTCAGAATTAATCGTACTTTTTATAGTCCTGTTCCAAGCGGTGTGCGACTTCACTTTTTTAGTCATTTAGAAGTTGAGGCGAGCTGAATATAATGAATATTCAAGGGGCTGAGAACATTAGTAAGTTATATTATCAGGTATATTATCAGGTAAGGGGAGCAACGAGGACAACCCATCAAATGGCAAATATTTCCCGTGTTTAAGTGAGATATCAACTACTCTGTTCCCACGTTCCTTCTGCGGAGAGAATAGCGCGTAAGACCTTGAGGGGCAGAGACCGATCTCTTTGAATTGAATTAATGCCTTATTTTACGTGGCGAGACTCGGGCCATGAGGCCCGCTCTTCCGTCTGACCACGCAAATTTCGCTACGCTCCTTTCACCCACTAGTGGAGAAAGGAGGCATTTCTTGGGCGAGAAACAGGCGATTGAATTTAGCTCAGAGGCGTCATTTAGGCTTGAGGATCTTTTCCATGCAAGTAAATCTACTAACATGGGACAGCCGGCTTTACTTCCCTTCCGTACGAAGGATTTTTTCGCCCTTAAAAATCCACAGCTTCAATCGCCGGTTTCAACCCGCCATCTTGGGTACAACAGTCCGGTACGCTAACCGTTACACCATCGCCGCCGCCGCCATCTTACGTTACATAAGGTGGTGTGTGGGGGCGGTATGCGAGGGCGGGAAGTAAAAACATCGATGGTGATCAGAGGAAAGAGAAAGAAATCGTAGCAGAGGAACAATGATCTCCATCCCTTCCTCAAACAGAGGCATCACTACGCGTAGGAAGCTCTTTCCGCTCACCTGCGATCGCTCCTCCTGGGCCAGGGTCTGCGCCTGGAGCTGGACCTGGAGCTGGGCCAGGGGCTGGGCCAGGGTCTGCGCCTGGAGCTGGGCCTGGAGCTGGGGCAGCCTCGCTCAGCGGCCACCGTCTCAACGGCTGAGGGGCCGATGCGCTAGAGCTCGACAGCTGCGGTGCAGCGATAAGCCTAGGAACCTTCAGGCCCCGCCGCCAGCCGCCAACTCAGCGCTCGGCCTCCGGGACACCGGCTGGGGAAGGGGAAAGAGGAGGGGTATGCAGCCACTATTCCAAGACCTCATAAAACGCCGTATTGGAAGGTCGAAATCCAAATCTTCATACTACTTTGAAAAAGAGAGATTGGTTTATTTATATAATTCAGTAATATATTTTATTTCATACTATGTCGCATTTCGATTGCTTACATACTGTGTACTTTGTACCGTAAAGAAATCTCATACCAACTTATGAACTAGAAAATTTTGTATAACATTTCTGATTTGTTTTATAATTATATGGACACCGCCTACGATATAGTTGATGACAATATAATAAGAAGGAAGCTTAAAATCATTGATTGAAAACGACGATAACAGGGCTATATGATGACAATGAAGAGAACAAAGTATGATAAGTAAGCTAACAATGTATCCTTATTAATAATGTTAATATTATTTGTTTTTTTCAGGAACCAAATTTTTCATATTCATGTTTACATCTTTCATCCGATATCAGAGGTATTAATTAGTCAATTGGTCCTTGGATTAATCGGTTTCCGAAGCATTTCAATTTTCAATTCCATTTTAAAATGTTAAGAGCACTGCAATTGTTTCACAGACATAAAGATTGTAAGGTGCTCTGATATTGAGTAATTCTGATTGTGAGTAATTCTTTATTGGCACTCGTACATCGTGAAATATTGCAATTTGAAATTAAAAAAGGTAAGGAACTGCGGCATGGTATGAAATGAAACGTGTTACGACATACAGGCGGAAATGTTACATTACTCGTTAGAAAATCCTCTCCTCACCTGAATGTGTTCTCTAGAAGGGGCATCCCTGGAAGCCATCGCAACAGACGCCGTCGTCTCCGCCGTCGTCTCCGCCGTCGTCTCCGCCGTCGTCTCCGCCGTCGTTTCCGCCGTCGTCTCCGCTGTCGTCTCCGCCGTCATCTCCGCCGTCGTTTCCGCGGTCGTCTCCACCGTCGTCATCTCCGCCGTCGCTATGTTGTGGCATGCGCGCCTCCTCCAGCGCCCCCGTCTCCCCCGCACCGCTGTGTCGTCCTACGCCACGTAGTCACCGATTTCCTTTCTCAGTTTTACGACAGACGAATAAAACCGTCCGAAACAGCCTGCTCTCCTTCGATTTAAGTGTAACTCGTCGCGACCAAAGTTGTAGTCTTGCAACCAACAGTTGGGAGCAAAGAAGGTTACCTTATGTGCTTTGGCAACCCAATAATAATAACAATAATAATAATAATAATAATAATAATAATAATAATAACAACAACAACATCCTATCCCCCTAATTGATATTCAAGGCATAACAAAGGGATGCGGCCGTACGGCTGATCCCCATAATTCCACACGCTGATCTCTCCCGGATAGAATTTAATGGGCCTCGGAGAGATAAATGAATTGCGTGGTCAGTAGTGGTCCATACGCGTACAATAATAAAGTATTTAATAATAATTAATTGAAAGATTTCATAAAAGCACAAAATAAGTAAAGTATTAAAGTATTTCCATCTTTTGGGATATTTCACCAATTTATTCCCTATTACTGGCGCTATCTGCAACCCATTTCCGTTCAGCAAGCACCAATGGCATGCGTTTACGAATATCACACTCGATTTTGTTTCCAGTGCCCAGTCACCTAATGTGTAAGCTTATTTTCTCACTTGTACGAGCGAAATCATGCTGCCAATGGTATGCAATGATCCAAGGTCACATTGGAGGTCGGAAACCGCACCTGCTCAAGGCCCGTCCAAATCCTCTTCCAACCACCTCCTACCGGCCTACCCAGATGAAAAGGTGCAACGAGGATAATATAGTCCAGGAGCCAGCATGAATATCCACGTATGATAAGCTCAAAGCTAAAACTTTTTGAGAAGTTACGCGGAGCAGGAGAACGCAACTATGGTGGCCTGAAGGTGTCGGCGTTTCGCTGCACAATTTTTTGAATGTCTCGAAAACAACTTTGCCATTGGGGAATGAGTACACTGTTCCTTTTGGTTGTATATTTTTCGTTAGATAGCAAAAGTGTAAAGGAGTTGTATGCTATATCGGTGTGGCGTCTCAAGCTATACGCCATATCAAAATTCAAAGTGTCATTTTTTGCTCTATCGGAGGAACGAATTTATTCCAAAACTTTGGAGCTATTTTTGAGAAAATCACGAAAGTGTGTTTCCCTGCGTCGGTATCTGAACTTCTTCTCCAAGGTCAGTGAGATCACAGCAGTAGCTGGAGTCTTCGTGGGTCCCTGAATGAGTGTCCGAATGGGAACCCCGAATATTAACGACGCTGAGCCCCTGACCGATAGGGATAAAAAACAATGACTTACGTCTTGACTTCACGTATGACTGACATTTGTTCAAGGAGGATTACTTCACGCATTCAACGCCAAAAAAAAGGATTGGAACGTTGTTACGCAAGTAACTTATACGCAAGACTTCACGAGGTTGCTCAGGGCATCAACTGATGTCATTGCAGAACTTCAGACCGAGAGGTCCTAGGTCCGAGTCTCGACAGTGGCAGGATTTTCGATGCTAGCTAGGTAGCTAGGTGAATTCAGCCACTGACTGGAAGGGGATTCTAGCGGCCGGCTGCTTTGATCGGTAGTTTTTCGTGGTTTCTCCTATGAACATCAGGCGAATGCCGGAGCAATGCCCTAACAAACGGACCATCGAACGCGCACGTTTCCTCCTTCCTTGTCCTATCCTTACCCCTCACGTACACATACTTATACATACTTATATTTACATGCATTACACTTTCACACACATCTGGAAACCGGTTGAGAGCATAGACCGTATCCCGGGTGGGGCTGTGCCTCCTCTAGTGGGAAATACCTGGTTGGGAAAACCACGTTAGCCGACAGATACGTCGGCGCCGGATCTCACCCTCCAACGGGGAAGATCACCATATCACCTTCCCCTTGGTGGAAAACATGCACTACACTTACAGGACAAATGACTAGTCTATTGACACACACGGAATTATCAATCAAGAAAGTAAGCAAGACTATATAATCAATATCAATATATCCGTTTCAAATTTGCAGAGACTTGAGTTCGGCCAGAACGATTGCGGTAAGTCTATTTGAAGAAAATCGTCTGAAGGGTTTATGCGCAGATGATGGGACAGGCGGAAGGGTATATAGAAAGACGTATGGACTGACAGACTTTTTGCTGTCAACCACGTTTGATGTATCAACGATCCTAAAAACATGGATTCTGACTGCACGACGTATTACAAGAAATAATTTATTAGAAATACGAATAATATTTATTCGCTTTTCGATATCAGGGCCCCACAATACGAGTTATTCGGACGAAAAGTCACTTTGCGCTGCAGTATTACCATATCCTCTACGTAAGTACTACGTATTGGGGCAAAAGGTGGTGTTACAACAGCACATGCTGTGTGCTCCAAACTTTTATATGAGAGTTCCTCCTAGGAAAGCGCAAAGGCCTCTTTAAAACTGAAGCAGGTTTCATTTTATTGATATTTCTGAATATTCAAAATTTGCAAATACTCAAAATCTTTTCGACGTCCTACAACTACAACGTTGATGAAATGCATCTTGTCTTTAATGAAATCTGTTATTCGAAGATAGGTCTTGGAATAAAGTCAGGTACAACATTTCGAAAATATGAGTGTTTTGACGTAGTTTTGCATGAAATATAAGCAATTTTCAAACAAATACTTTCTCAATAACGGTACCAAACGCTTTCCTTATTTTTCCCTCGTACGTAGCAAATTAAAATGGTGCTGTTCGCGTTATTGGAGGACTATGCATTTTCATGAATTGCAAACAATTAACATGCAAAAATACAATATTAATGAATGATATATTTTTTTAATTTAAGCGTAATTTCAGCTTGAAGTTAATGCAACTCATAAAAAAAGTCCAGAAACTGATCTCAAAAATTTCTAATTTTTGTGAATTTCTCTACATTTTCCAAACTTGCATAATTTAAAAATAATGCATCACTTATGTGCTGTTGTAGTTCGGAATTAAGGACCAAAAAATGTGGATTTTGAAACACGGACAGTGGGACAAAATGGGACAGGTGCACATGGGACAATTGGACAAATGGGGCAAGGGGTCTAATAGAATAACGGAGACAAAATGGGATCAGGGGACAAGTGAACAAAATGGAAAAGGGGAAAAGATGGACAAGTCTGGACAAGAAAACAAAATGAGTCATGGGAACAAACGGAAAATGGGGACAAATGGGACATGGATGACAATGGACGTATTGGGACAAAAAGGACAAGAGCCAAGTGGGCCAAGTTTGGACATATTTGTCCAAAGATTTATGAGCAGTGGTAAAACCTAAACTAGAGAGTCCGCTAAAGTGAACTCTCGAGTATTTTATTGGCCGTTTCTATGAACGCGCTCTTAAAGCGTTGGATGGTATTTGCTAAGGAGTTAAGCGTGTGTTTGCCGACGTCAATAAGAAAATATATGTTCAAAATCTATTCTGACATTTTGAAGGTCGTAGAGAAAGTATAGTCTTCTACTCGCGCATAATGGCTACTAGTAGAAATTACGACACTCCCCCGTCGCTCGTGTCGTAAACATCAACTCATGAATAATTATCTGTGATTATGCGCTCATTGAAGAATATTCTGTTCCACACCTCCATATCCTAATAAATATTTATAAGATTTTTCATTGAAAATTGCATTCAAGTAATATTGACCTGCCTTCTTCAATAACATGTTATAAAATCCATTAATCAAACACGTCTTTGTGAAAATAGCAGTTTCTATTGTCATTTAGAAGTCAAGAAGAAACAAATTTTCTTTTACATTTCTGAAACTCATACAGCCAAGAATATGTAACCTACGAGTAATGAGCGACGTTAATAACCAATTATTTTCGCATTAAAATAACCGTTCGACAATTACTATTATCATTTCATCATCATTATATTTCTGTTTGAGCATCTATCCTGATCTAATATCGAGCATTTATTAGTTGATTTTTCTAACCAGGATGACCTCAGCTCTCAGAACTATTTATACACTTTCTTGCATAATACCAGCTTTAATAAATCGATAATTTATTGACTTCCTTCGAAATATCTGGATTTATGATGAGATGTTGTCCTAAACAATAAAAATATAATTATTTATACCAGTAATGAACATGTTTGACGGTGTGAGTACGCGTTAGTCAAGCGATTAGTGAATATGCCAATTAGTGGTTCCAGAGCAACGAATTAATAGCTTGGTATATACACCATGAATGGATAATAAAACAAACATATCTTAAATTTAGACGATATTTTTAATGTTAAGCTTTTGAGCAATTATAGACATGCATCATTGATCATTTTGCAATGAAAATCATTAATAGACAATGCAATAGTAAAATATCGTTATGTCTCTGTTGCATGACAAGCCCGCCATAATCAAATGAAATAATGTATGGGACTATTTAAGGTCGTGTACTAATCATCAAGTTCTTGGTAAGTAGTAGGTGAAAACTCATCAAAGTTCAAAAATGAGTACCAAATCGAAATCTCCTTTCCGCGTACCGAGCAAGAGAATGACTAAAAAGACTAAAAAGACTAAAAAGGTGAAGTTGCAGAGCGAGGAAAGACCAGAAAGATCTGACGGCATTAGAGTGAGAGAGGTGCTGAATGAAGAAGAGTTCGCTAAAGAGCTGTGGGACGCAGAAGACCAGCTTGTGGTTGTACAGTTTACCGCCAAATGGTGAGTAGATTTTAGGCACATCTTTCGCATTTCATCAAAATATGAAAGAAATAAATATCATCAAAATTTGAACAGAATACATGGTTAATGCTAGGTTATGATATAATATGAAGAATAAACAGTAATATTTCCTTCAGTCTATGTACCACAATTATCTCACTTTTACACCATTTTGGATTCTGAAATAATAATATTTACTATAATATTAATAAATGACCCTCATTGTATAATAATGGCTAAATAACATTACAGGTAAATTATCTACAAAGCTTTCCAACATACATACATTGATGATTATTGGTGATATTTTTGATGATATTAGTAATTTCGCATTGTATATCTTGTTGTAGATTAAATTCATTCAATCTTATTGGTTGTTTTTAATTATCCCAAAACTGACTATCCCTAACTGACCCCACTTTTGTCTATCAGAGTTGAAAATTTGGGATGGAACTAAAAGTTTTGAATTACAGAGGATTTATAACAGTTCTTTTTTCATTCAAATAATAAATTGTGAAAGCTGTAGTAGATTTATAATCATTGGTTAATATTTATTTCTATAGAGTCTTTAGTGACAGTGTTTATTTTTATAATTCTATAAGAATAAAAATATGTAGTTCTGGTGATTATTCACTTTTCTTCATACTGATTAGAAAATAATATTATGAAAATGACATAACATGCATTGACTAATATAACAAGTTGTATAAATATCCTGAATGAACTGTTATGCTTTTGGAATAGAATATTAAAAGATACATCAATATATGCAATAAACTATTAAAAGAGCACAAATGACAGTTTGTATTGGTGAAATCACTACTCATGTAGTAAGATATTTTTTAGAAACTTGTAGAAAGAAGCGCACGTGAACAGAACAG